TTAGCTTTATCAATTCTTTTTTGACGCGTGCATTATTCGTCCATGAGCATTTATACATTTATAAGTAAGTAAGTATGTATGTATGTACGTATGTATGTATGTATGTATGTATGTATGTAGGTACGTATGTACATGTGTACATGTATTTTTGTTCAGATCTATGTGTATATATATATACATGTACATATACCGAAGAGAAAAAAAAAGCAGCACTTGCATGTGCATACATGTATGTGTGTATTCCTATGAAAACGCACATCATATATACATCAATGCTACATGGCGCTTAGGCTAACTGAGCCATGCGGAGCCTCGTCCTTCTTGCCGCACCCCATTTCAGGCTCAGGCACGAACTTCCTGCATGTGAGCGAAACAGCCAGCATTCACACAAATATCCCCTGCAGTGCCTGAGGAGCAGAAAGCTGAGAAAGCCTAAGATTCCAGAAGCGCACGCCTCTCCAGCTTGCCAGTTCAGCTCAACTTGCGAAATCAGATATAAAGGAATGTTCGGCATCTTCGTCCTAGCCCGACAGGAAGCAGTTGTCCAGGTAAGCGGAATTGCTAGTAAGCCACAGCCATGCCAGCTATGCTTCTAGTAGTGGCGGTTACTTCCACCGACCCAACATCACTGGACCTCTGTCTCTCCACCGGGCCATCCTCGCTTCCCAATAAGGATTTTCCAGTGCGCGGGACTCCAAAAACGATTAGAAAAGTAACGTGCTGGTACTTCTTTGCCAGCTAATTCCAAAACCTGTCTGAAGCCCAGGCTGAAAGCCAAAGAGCTGTTGGCGGGGTGCAGGCCCATTGAGGCCCCAAATTGGAAACATCATCAGGGGTCACCCCAGCCCTTTGCACTGCTTACGAGAGCTGCGTGAGGCCTCATCAGGCTGTATAGATCGTTAACATATGAGAACTTTACGGGTCTGCTAAAGCCGCTGCAACGCCTGTGTACAACTGTTACAAAGATGTTATCTCCTGTGGAAGACAAATGTTTTTTGAGCTGTGTTTGTGGAGAGCTACGCCCCTTGATCGTGATGCTGCTGTTCTCCTGCAAATTTTCAGATGTGAGAGTTATCCGAATCCCGGTTCTGCTAGTGATGGAGCTGTCCAGGGCGTGCGGGTTGGGCGTTGCAGCCTGCAACGCTCCGCGCGGCTGTTTCGGGAATAAGTCGAAATGAAGCATACAGCATCATACAGCCCACGCCTTGGGCTTACATTCATCACAACACGATTTCGAGCCAACATGCTGGGCTTGGAAGCCTATATGCGCATACATACACCTATGATTGTCGTCAGTAACCCCCAGAATCCCAATGAACAACCCGATTACTCGCGAAGTCGCCCCTGCCGGCTGCAGCAGCTCTCGAGCCGCAGGGGCTTTCGGTGCGAGGCTTGGGGTTTGAAGGCTTCAGTCGCGTGCAACAACCTTGTGATTGCCTAGAATCTCTACAGTTTCCCATAATTGATCAAATCCCACGGGGGCCAAACTTGTGTAAAAGAAGAAATTGATCACATGCTTGCACACACCACTCCTGCAGCGTGCACTCACCCCCGATACAACGTTGCACCGGACGATGCGACTTAATGCGAACAGCACTAGGTTTGATTTGATACATCTTACATCAACATCCGATGAATATCAAAGTACCAGGGCCTGGGAAAATGCGCTGCCATCAAAATCACAGATATCTTGAAGGTTGGCTAGGTAGTGAGGCTATGCGAGGTTCACACCTCACTGCTGATTCCAATCACGACACGGGGACGTCTCATCAGCAAGCAGTTGGGAAGTCTCCAAAAATCGAACAGCCCACCTTTGCTACAGCGTCGCAGGTCCCCACACCATAGTGTTGTGACATATAGTAAAAACACTCACAGGCTCTCCATGCGTTATCCGTTTCAATTTGGCGATTCCTGCAGTTTGTGTTGTGACCCCACCCTTGTCCTGCGCTCCTGTTTGTCTGGATGCCCCTCAGCCCGATGGATACGTGTCCGGCCTGCATCAGCACCCATCGGAAACTATCGGATCATGGATTCTTCTCCCACTGCTGCTGCGTGCTTATGCTTCATTTCATCCCGTTTCTGTCTGGTTTCGGGTGCCTTTCCGTAATTAGCAGCTGCTTCAAAACACCGTCATGTGCGTTGACTTTGACACTGCTTGCCATACTATCAACAAGACTACTGGGGACTGGAAGCAAAGAATCGAAGATCAGCCTCATGAGCTGATGCTGTTGGCCATACGTCCAATTTCAGGCTTAGTGGCTTAGATGACGAATAGCACACAGCAATGGCGGCGATTTAGCCCGGGGAATCGCACACCAAAATCGCCTTTGCTTGGCTGCCCTGAAAGCTTCCTGAGAACAGATCGCGCGGCTTGGCAACATCGAACTGCCAAGTCAGTTCCCTACGTTGCCTTTATCACTCTGGCAATGGTGTTTCCAAGACTTTATATGGTAGTTTCCCTAAATTACTGTTCCCAAAATGGGGGAAACTTATATAGGGCCCCGTATTATAATAGGAACCCAAATATAGGACCCCGTATTGACAGTAATTTAGGACAATCCCCATATGACCTTGATGTGTCTACAGCAAAAACAAGGCAGAAGTGAAGGTGTGAAACCTCTTAGCACGAGACCAGTCGATGCTGAAGGATGCTAAAGGAATGTGACACAAAGCTGCCCCAAAATTCGGAGAAAGGGGAGGTACCGAGAGCAACAATAGGGCACATGGGGCCACAAGAAGGCAATACGGGCCGTGAAGAGTAAGGAGATAAAAGCCGCTTTGAATCCCTGAGCATTTCCAGGCCACAATCCGTTTGCAGGTCCAGTTGGCTTATCATGCTTCCAGCAAAAACATGGCAGCAAAAGCTACAAGTCACCAAGGCAGTTTGATGCTTTTCATGTGACGCAGTTGTATGCTTAAAGACTGATCACCAACCGCAGGGCGACCGCATGGCGTAGTTTGGATGCAAATGAGGCTGCCGGGGCAAGCCTTCCCCTCCGCATAGTTGTTGCCACAGGTCACCTACTATATACATCCAGAGTGACAGCATAACAGTTCTTAGAACTATCCAGGATCATCTGGGGTCTGCCTCTTGCTGTTGAAGGGAAGACCGGCGCGAAAAATCAATCGGGAGCCACGCGAATGGCAGTGCAGTGGGCAAAAGCAGATGTTGGCGGAAAGCTTGCGGAAAATCAATACACGGAATGCGGCGTTCCCGAAGCAATGCAGACATGATGTGTAGCCGTTTCAACAGTGTGCAGTGGAGAAGCTTTTTCAGAAAGAGATCGATCTTTGCAGATTGACTTGCAGAAATACATTTTGCAAGCTGTGAGACTTGTTGAGAAGCTTGGCAATTCTGTTGCTGATTGCAGTCCACATTCTGTCAATTTTCACGGTATACGTGACGCAATGAATATGCTAAGTGATGAAATATGCTAAGTGAAAACAGTCAGACATTGCAAGCGACTTCTGTTAGCGTTTTCAGTTATTGCATCTCCATTTGCACTAGAACTTTTTGATTCTGTCTGCAAAAGATTGGGTCTTCCAGACATCTCCTGTCTGCAGACCATAAAAGAACCTTAATCGCGTAACAAACTTGACAACATGTCGCAACAAATCCACAGATCCAGGTCGAGGCGGGTTGGTTGACCGCCGCATCAAACATTTCAGGTGGTAAGATGGCGGGAGTGGGGCCTGACGGAGTGCACCATTGAATCTGTGTAAATCTAGGACCAGATTGTCCAAAAAGTTCTCCGTAGCACAAGTTCCTGTATTTAGGAAACAAGAACCCCCGCAAACTCCTAGAAGGAAGCTTTCCTGATGAAGGCTTCGTGGACCTACAATGTTCGCAGAGAATTGCAAGGATCAGGGTGTACAGGCGCGTTTGAAGAGGATCTCCGTTGCACGGCTTGAAGCTTTGCCTGGGCTTGCATGCACTGGCTTTCCTCCAGATATGGTTTGTCTGCTCCCGGCCCTTCTCGGCTTGCTTCTATCGACTTTTTATCACTACTGCCCGGCGTTCTGAAATGCTGGGCCGGCCGTGCAACAAGGCCCGAAGTTGTTGTAAGATCAGGCCTGCATGCGGTTCTCAGCCTGGAGAAATGGCGGAATGAAAAGCTCCACCTCAGCAGCTGGTCTGACGTATGAAGTCAATTCAGAGGTGTGCACCTGAGGTTCAAGCAAAGGACACTGTCAACATCACCTGTGCGCTTAATGTGCCTAACTCGGGGACGGAGGACTTGAACAGCTAGCTCAAGTTTCCAACTTAGCCAGAGGGGCGCCAGCAGCAAGGGCTAAAGCGAATGCCTGGCAAGCACCGTGGTTCTCCAAGCTCTTCAAACACAAAAAGTCTCACCATCTGGCTGTTTGTCGGCGAGCTCCGAAGCAGCAGAACCTTGGTCTTCTGATGTCTTCTGCAATGGTTTGCAGAACTCAAAGGTCCTTGACCACCCTGTGTTTGTGCCACGGGACGCATCCAGCACCCAACGAAGTAGACAAACCAGCTACCTTAGAACACTTTTCTGCATGGAGGCGCAATCACACATTAGTGGTTTCATGCGCGGGACAAAGTTCTGTAAGGTTTGAACGAGCGATCTCAAGATTGCAGTGGCCTTGTGTGCCTCCACCACCTCAACCTTGGCAACAGCAACTAGCACACAAGCTTGCTTGCCACTGACCGTGCTTCTTGGTGGGCAGCAGCGCGTGGAGGCACTTCGGCAAGATTTGCAGCTGACATGGCATGGCGTGGCAGCATGCAGAATTCAGCACCCTATGTTGCCCAAGTATTCGAGCATTGCTTACCAGACATCCGCACCTCCCGTTCGTCGCGTCAAAAGGGGGTAGCCCGACTCAGGGAAATCTTGTTGGACTTCTCCTGTCAAGAAAGCATTCCGTACGATCACTTCTCCTTCACATCCTTGCAGCATACTGCAGCATGCTACAGCTCAGAAGTCCTGTGGAAATTGTGGAATAAAGTGGTGGCCGGTTCAGCTCAGGCACCTGGCCCTGCATTACTGTGTGGGCCATGCAATTCCCGCGGATACGACTCCCGGATACACGCGCCCAAATCGAAGCGTGGCAGGGCGACAGCAGATACATCGTTTAGCTGCAGGGCACACACACAAGCCTGTCCATCAAGCCACGAGCTTTACCTGTTTTACCTGTTTTGCCTGTCACGTTACAAAGCAGGATCTCTTGTCCCAGCACGAGAATAAGCCCTCTGCCACACAATGGAGGAGCATCCGTTCTGAGGGGCACCTCCACACGATCTGCTGATTCAACAGACATTGTTTAATGCCCAACAGATTATGCCATCGTCCATCATTATATACTCTGTGGGCAGGAAACATCAATCTGGATTGAGAAATTTACGATACACGCTCTGTGCTCACATGAAGGCCAGGCAGGTCATCCCAAAGCAACACAGCCTGCTACTCCGCTTGCACAACAATCCCGCGAACACAAATCTTAACTCATCTTATACACGCGCACATGGGCACAAGGCCCGAAGGCCTTGCAGCCACCAAGGCAACGCGGGCAGATGGTCAAGCTGAGGTGCGCATACCCAGTTGGGAGAGATTGGCTGAGGCTTACATGCGCTTGCAATGAACTGGCTTGAAAATGTGTAAGCCGCAGGGAATCACAGGGATGAAGCAGGCTCGAAGGATTATCTAGGTTTGTCGAGTCTACCCTATAGCCGTGTAGCTTTGTGCTGACATGTTCCTATTTGTACCACATCTTTTTGTGCATCTGATTTCAATCTATCAATAGGACGGCATATGCTTGGGCTCACAACGGTTTTGCAGCCGCCGCGTGTTCTTGGAGAAGACAGACTTCCACATGCTTGCCAGATTTCACAGCAAAGCTTGGGCTGGGAAAGTAACAGCTTCAGCACGTCGCATGGCATGGAGGGATGCAAGTGTGCATATTTAAATATCTATATACTACCTCCACTACTCAGAACTCCCTATGAGGGATCCCGTATGAGGAGAATTCGCGATCCCTGATAAGGACTTTTCACAAGAAATCCATGATGAGGGAAAGGAGCTTCTCAAAATGAATTTTCATGAACCTCCCTTCTAGGATCAATCATAAATTTCATCCCTAGTAGGCATCCCCCGAAAGATGATGCTAGTACTGATTCTACAGAAATATTTCTACGCGGACTTTCAAAGAGGATTCATAGCAACCCCCCAAATGAGATGCCCTCATATGAAGCTCTGGTCGAATAACGATGCCACATGCCACTGCATACAACCCTAATCAGTAAAAGCCCTCATAAGGCTCCTTAGTCAGGATCCCTAAAGATTTTGTTAAAGAAGACTCCTCATAAGGACAACGGATAGGATTGGGGATAATACAACCTTTAATGAGAACCTCGAATGACATCTGGATCCCCAATTAATATCAACCTCAACAGTGTTCACTTGGGGGAGAGGGACTGGACGAAAGCTAGAGCAGAATCTAACTGACAGAATCCAAATGCGCACTCTTCTTTTTGACGGTGTCGGCGTTGCCCCACTTGCCCCGCTTGCCCCTCTTGCTCCACTTGGCCCACTTGACACACTTGTTCCACTTGGCCCACTTGCCCCCCACTCCCCCCATAATGTGGCCCCCTCAACTACTGCTGTGGAAGCTCCAGACAAGCCACTTCAGGGCGCCAAAACGAACCCCTGCCCCAGTTGCCCTACTTGCCCCACTCACCCCACTTGACGCACTTGCCATACTATTGTGGGGGGAGAAGTGGGCAAATGGGCATGGGGCAGGTGGGTCAAGTGGGGTCGGTGGGGCAAGTGGGGCAATGTGGGGACAAGCACAAGCACTTCAGGGACCACGTGCCTCTCTTGACCCCCCCCACTCAAGTGGGGCAAGTGGGTTCAGTGGGTTCAGTGGGGCGAGTGGGGCAAGTGAGGCTAAAAATACTGGAATTTTCAACTGCGGTCAAGTGCGGCAAGTGGGGCAAGTGGGGGAAGTGGGGGAAATGGGGCGAGTGGGGCAAGAGGGGCAAGTGCCTTTAAGGTTCCCCCCCCGCGGTCGCAGTGTCCTTTAACTACTGGGAAGGAGGAAGGCCACAGGACGTAAGCTCGCGATTGACACCTAAATGCATGCACTCAAAAAGCACGCATTGTAAATGTAAGCGTATGTAGTAGTATTTGCATATGACTTTAAATACATTAACTGATCTAGTCCTCGCCAGGAGTCTGCTATACTCTAGCAAATACAATATGCACGTATGCTCAAACACAAACATGGGCCGAAACTAGACAATGGAGGTCTACAATGGCACCTTTTTGAGCAAAACCTACGTGTTCTTAATGCGTTCTTTTGGGTAGGATACAGTGTTTTCTTTTAGGGTCCTTTAAGGGTCAGAATGCGACCCCCCGGTGCAATGCCCGAATCCCTCCCTGCCCTGCTGTCTGGCTGAGAGAACCCTCAAAAGGTGCCTACCCCCTGGCGGACCCATCCCCCACACCCCTTGTTGCAAGCTAACGCTTGATCAGAAACTCCAGCTAGACCCGGAGGCTAGCTTTCGTGATTACAGAGGAACCTCACAAACGAGTAAATGCCTTCGACCGTGGATAACGTTGATAAGGACTTGAATTTTGTGATATCCACAAATAAAACATGGGTTGCAAGTAGGGATTCCCCATAAAGATTCACAATGCATGCTCCTGGAAAACTCCTCAAGAGCAGCTCCCCCTAAAAAAACAATAGAAAAAGATCGGCGGCAGCTTTTCTTCAACAACGATCTCTCATAAGGATCCCCAACATACATAAAACTGTGATATAAACCGCTAAAAAAAAGAGCTGCGCAGGCATTGCATAAGTGCACTGTCCCTAAGGTAGGATTCGTGATTTAAAAAAATGTTAGATATTCTGCGTGGGATTTGTGGATCTAGGCATCCTTACTGGGGTTTTATTTGTGATTCATAAGGAGCACGTAGTAAACTTTGATCGGGTTCATAAGGAGTTCAACGTCCTTGCTCGCCTGCTGGAACGGCTGGCCCGGGGAATAGAGCGGAAAAGGACAGGTAGGCGGGGCTAGGGATTGCAGCAGCGCCAACAGGAAGAGAGGAGTTGCCAGGCGCAAGAGGCCAGGCGCAGGCCCGGTCCGCAGTGGGATGCACACGACTCCAACACGGCTACACGCCGTATAAGCCGCTTCATGCCGCTTACGAAGCAAGGAGAAGCCAAGGCTGCCCACTTTGGAGGCCGGGGCGTGGAACTGAGACAGGGTTGATGGAAAGGTGGCAAAGGTGCAGAGAAGCGGGCAGGGGGCAATGCAGCGGCACTGCCAAAGGAGTGGGCAGGGGGTACCTGCCAGCGAGGAAGGTGAGGGAGTCTCAAGACATTCTGTAGCCCAGAGGCGAGACCCAGCGAGGAGCACACCTGCCAGGACCCCACGCTGGGAGATGCAGGTGGCAAAGCTTGGAATGCTGGATGCAGAGGCAGACGCCTAAGAAGGGCAGGCGCAGAAAAGGCGGCACACAGACTGAGCGATCAGCTCGAAGTCGTTCGCGAGGGTGCCAAGGACTTACACCGCGGCACACTGCGAACGCTTAGAATGTCAAGGTGCTGCAGCGAATACAGGCCGTGCCAAAAAGCTCCAGTTAGCAGTTTACACATTTTTCAGAGCAGTGCAAAACAGACAGCCCGCCCCCCAACGCATAAGGTGAGGCAGGCGAGGGCCTGGGGCGAAGAACCAAACAAGCAGAAATGCCAACCCATAAGGTCGGCACAGCTGCTGCGACCCGTGGCCCAGGCACCCAAGAACCGGGCAATGGGCAGGCAAGTCAGCTAGACAGGCACAGGCAGAAAGCTAGGTGTAAGTGCTAGATTTCGTGAAGGCACCTTTAAACAGGCTGTCTTACATCATGGAAGGTCAGCACAGGAAAGGCAGTACAAGCGGTGCTCAAAGGGCAACTGAACAGAGGCACATATGGGTTACCAAAAACAGAACATGCAGAAGCGAGCTGTGTTCAGATAGGGACCTGAGCCAATGGCTGTGGGATCGGACAAAGTTTTGCTGGTGTGCCGCCTTCCATTGCACCAAAACCTCAAACACTCCGATTTAAAGAAACGGTCTTAGCCCTGCATTCACTGTTCGTGGATGTGTTTTACCGTTCGAGCTGGTTCTTAAGTCTCCTCCCTCTTGGACTTCATGGAATCCTTCTGATAAAGGCCTTGAACCACAGAGAGCTACATCGCTGTCGTTGTTGTTGTTGTTGTTTAAGATATCTGCTGACCGCTGGCTGCATGGTGTATGGTCAGAGCAGGCGGAAACCCTGTTCTCGAACAAATGCTCATACTCGCAAGCGAGTATGTTTCGAGATAGACCTCAATTAAGTGCTGCCAGCTCACTTGCGCCTTGACTCTTTGGAGCGGTTTTTCCACTGCGCTACTCTTGCTGTGTATGCTAGCTGCCAGCCTTTTTTTGATGTCTGCTCTCATACCACTAGCATCAGTATTTAACTGCAAGATCTCACTCCTTGAGAGATGTTTCCATGAAATCAGTGTCTACGAAAGTATGCGCATATGCCGCGAAGGAATCTTCCATATGCATCTGCAATCTTCTGTTTGCGCTTGTCTGCCCGTGAGAAATACAAGTCTGTCAGCGGCCGGATCAACAAAAAACAAGCTTGAGTCTGAGGGGGGTTTGGCAAAATGGGTGTGTCTTGGAAACCCTTATAGCATCGCCTCTGCGCTTTTTTTCACTCAAAAGCCTGTTGCTGAGGAGCTGGAGGCTTGAAGCCGGTCTTCTTGACCTAAGGCGGGAAGCAGCCAGGCTTGACAGGACGTGAATCTTGAAGTGAAGCTACTCAGGCTGCTAAGGCTAAGGGGCGTGCCTTGACTGATCCTCGCGATTTGCGAATCACGGAGGGCTTCGGCTCACGGAAACTGCGCGGCTCCAGCTTCAGGCTTGGTCCGCCACCAGAAGACTCTTGTCCATACAAGCTTGACTGCCTACTTGGCCTCATCTCGTCAAGCTTGCTCTTTGGAGCCAGGTTCACCATTTTAAGTCTTCGGTGGTCAAACATCAAGCTGCCGTGGCCTTCCCTCAGCAGGTAGACATACTGCTGACAAGGGCTCACCGATTTTACTTCACAATCTGCAATGTCACCAATCTCGAGATCTGCAAAGTCCTTGAAGTCGTTTCCATCCACTACCGCTCCAGTGATCGGCGCGTGATTGATTTTGAAATAAGCAACGTCCGGCTTTCGTGAAGCAAGCATAGCCTGCAGTTTCACGCCTGTACGTAAGGATGCTGCACCTTCCAAAGGAAGCAGTGCAGAGTTGAGTCTTGCATAGTCAACGTTGTGCACACTTCGTCGTTGGATCAATGCTCCTGATGGATCCCCCAGCTCCCTGTTCAGTATCCTTTGTAAAGGCAGCAGGTGGACGACTGATTCAACGGCATGTCGAAGCGCTTGTGATTGCAGTGGCCGTTCGTGCCACTGCGGCAGAGCAATGTGGCGCTCCAGGCGATCCCAGCGGTGGAGCTGATAGGCACTCAGACGGAAGGTGCGCATTACCTCCGCAAGGCCAGCCTGGTAAGCATCAAGCCCCTGCCTCTCGAGCCAAGCCGCAAAAGCCACCTGGATATCATACACACCATGTAAAGGAATTCCATATTGGTTCAATAGAACGGATGCAATTTCACGGCAATCGTGAACAACCTTCACAATGCCGGTATGTAATAGCAAGGCTTCCAGTGGGGCGAGAACTTCTTGTCCACTACGCTCAACATCCACAAGAAGAACCTCAGCCTCAGTTGCAAGTTGCAATACGGAAACCTTTCCAAATCTTCCCAGCTTGGCTCCCTTGCAGTCGAGGGCAACGCTGTGTTGCTGTGACTGAAGGAGTCTGTCTGCCGCTGACTTGCATTGCTCCACCGTGGTCAGAAGTCGAACCGGCAGCCTTCGTATGCCTACATCCTCCTGAGGGAGTTGGCCCAGGCGTGGAAGTGACAAGAACAAAAGATGACAAGTACCAAATCGAGCCCTAAACTACAGCATGAGACTTGAGGGATCGCACAACTGCACGGGGCTGATTCGCAAATGTTACGGAGGCGAGGTGTGTTCGCATCAAGGCCTGCATGTCACCAGCCTTGCTCTCCCTGATCCCAGCCCTGGCGTGGCCAAGCCACTGCCTAATGGCCTTGTCGCTCCCAGGCCACTGCGAGCGAGTCGTCTTGGATCGCCTCAGTCATCAGCTGTCAAGGGAAGGAGTGCAAGTAAGGCCCGCGTTTCAGAGTGTTTTAGCAAACGGGGCTGCCACCATCGACGCTGCATCTTGCAGCAGTTGATACAGCGTCTCCAGGCATGTTCGCGTACGAACAACATTGTCATCTTACATGTAGTGCGGGTCTGCCTGGTGTATGACGTGTATGATGGTGCTTGCTTTTGAGTACACGTCCAGAATCTGACTTTTATCTCCGAACTTTTCCTGGTGGGACACTGCAGAGTTTGCCTGGCTCGAGACAAAAAAACACAAGCGCATGCTCATCTGCGCACGGCATCATTCCAAGAACATCACAGGGACAACGACGGTTTGGGCAACATGGGTTCTACTGTTCTCGTAAGTGGCTGGATGTTTTCTGCTTGCAGCATGGTTGAATGCAGCAAACAATGGCTCGAAGCTCGCACAGCTTCTGGCAGCAGGAAGTTCGCTGCTGCTGTTCACATTAACGCAGAGCTGGAAGCCACAGCAATTGCTGTAGAGAAGCAAGCCACAAATGGCTCACAACACAGCCAGCTTGAAGTCCTGCACGCAAGAGCACAACGCGATCCAAAGCACAAAGCTATGGTAGGCGTCCTCGATGAGGATTGGGCTTGCTGACAGAGAGCGGGCCTCGGCCTGCAAATCGGGCTGGTATGCCGGATACCATGAAACCGTGCAGTGCCTCAAGCCACTCAGAGACAGGTAGGGCTTTCTGGTCGGACTTGCCTCCGGCAACCTCCCACAAGGATTCAGCTTTGCAAGGTATGCACGTAGAGGTTTTGCGAGACATTTTGCCCGGCGCAACACCACTTGAGGGGCACGCGAGGCTTACAGAAGCATCACGAAAGCTAGCAGGGAATTAATACAAGCGCAATAGCAAAAGATGAAAGTACAGAATGCTGGAGAGCTGTGTGTGGAGGCAGAAGCTCAGCTCATGTGGATCTCAAAGTAGCGTTTCAGCCTAAGCTGGAGACAACGATGTTCTCCGTGATGATAGAGGCAGCCAAGAGCATGATGGTGATGAGGGCAATGGTGAACGTGGCCCTTCCTTCATTATACCGCTCAACCTGGTGATGGTCCTGGACGGTCGTGATAAGCTGACATATATGCTGGAAGATGGATTGGACGGTAGGGTCTGTTGCGCGATCATGACGTTACTGTTGCGCGATCATGAAGGTACGGTTGCACGATTATGGCGGGGCAAAATGGTAAAGTTTGTCATTACGAGAACTATCCCCAAATGTCATGTCCACTATCAACGTTGTCTTCGTCATCATGCTCATTGTGATGGCCCTTGGCGTCGTCAAGATCAAGACAGAGCATGTATATGCTAATGTTCAGAACATTGCGGCCACTATCTTATGAAAACACGGCGGCTATAAAGCACCAGGAGAGGTGCTGACAGATAATGCACAGTAGTACTGATGCTCACGACTCCATGACGCCTGCGCCACACGTCAACAGATAAGCTGGGGTGTCAAAATGATGAAAATGCGTAATAAAAAAACTGTCACGATGAAACGGCCGCAGCATTGATAAACATTGCCGCATTGCCATGAAGAAGGTGATCAACATGCTGGAAGAGTCCATATCATGATCATGGTGAATGACAGATGAATACATAGACAATACATGCTAAGTGATGCTTAAGCACCGACTACAGCATTGACAAGCGCAAGATGATACGTGAAAGGTGACGGGTGCTGCTGACATGTGAACGGCTGCGATGGTAGATAGGAGGTAAAATTATGGAAATTGTCATGACCATAGACAGCAGCTGGAGGCAGTAGATGGGCATGTGCAGGTCACAAATCATGCCAGTGCTGATTGAAGCCACAACCCAGAAGATGGCTAGGCCAATTTGAGATAGGAGGACTGAGCATGATAGGAGGACTGTGGCCAATGCTAAGGCTGATATAGTGATTTCCTTGAAGCACTTTTCAACATGACTATGAAAAGGCTTTGTGATCATGATGATGACAATCAGAATGAGCGGAGAAATCCATGAGGAAGGTCTAGGGGCTGAAAGACTGGGGTAGGATCTAGAGAGGGTATGATATACGCCTGACTTGAAACGGATTTGTATCGCCCGACTGTTCGTGGCGTACACTCAACTAGGTCCTCAGAGCGTAGCCTCGACTAATTCGCAGGGTGTCAACATGAGACGTTCTGGGCAGGCTGGCAAAAATTGTCGTGGCCTTTCTTAATATGAAATACCACAGTGGCTCCATCTCTTTATAAGAAGTACCGCAGCTGCTCTCTTTCCTAAGAAGAAATGCCCGAGCTCCGTGTCTTTGTAGAAGGTGAATCATACCCATACTCCGTGGTATTTCTGAGAAAGAAGTACCCCAGCTGCTCTGTGTCCTAAACAGATTTACCACGGCTGCTCTGTTCCTGAATAAGAAATACCACAGGAACCACATCCGTGCGGGAGTATTACTTTCAGAGTTTCGGTCTGAAGCTCCAAAAACCGATACTCCCTTTGCCACGCACATGGTAGGGTCACAACGTTTTTGGAGCAACAGCAAGGTTTGCATTTTTTTGGCGGGGAAGTACATGAAAAGGAGACTGCACAGAGGCGGCTCAGAGGTACTGCACAAAGAACCGACATTCGACCAAGCTCTGCATGTCTTGGCATGAGGGCAACGGGGCCACGGACCCGGGGGGCCTAGCAGGGCATGTTTTGGAACTGGCAGGAACCAAGGGGTGACGAGCGGATGCATGTTTTGCTTAGAAAGGTCAGCGTAGCAACAAATGGAAGAGGGTCCATGCTGACTTTGATGATTGGGAGACTCCTTGTCAGTTTGCTCTCTACCAACCCCCACAACTCTCTGCCAATTACCGGAATCTTGACATGGGGAGGCCTGCGGCGCAATAAGCTCCTGACCTGCAGAAGGCAGCTACCCAGACAGGCCATACCCATAAGCAATTTTTGGGTGAACGAATGAAACAAGCCAGCTGGAAACGTTATCCTGTCTGATAGTCCACATCACGCTCGGTCCTGAGGGCTGGGCAGGCGAAAACCTGATTTAAACCCACACACAAATGCTGTAGCGTAGCTGAGCTGAAATCCGACTTTTGCACGAGGCCGGCACTGAGTCCTGGTAGAATTTGGCAGTTTTGCCATCCAACACCTTCTGTATCACCTGACATCTGAGCGAACCCTGCAAAATACCAAGCTTGTGCTGAGATTGCAAGATGCGAGGGTCCTTCTCATCCATGCCTCCGGCTTTCCTTTGCATGATACGCAAGTCTTGCAGTGCCACAGAACCATGTCTTGAGGGTAAAGGACTCCAAATTGGCTGTCCTGGGCCCAAGTTGTTCGAAATAAGCAGCCTTGAAGACTTCGCGTTCCTTCCGCAAAGTCTCAGCCTCAATCGCGCAGATTCTGAAAGCTGCAAGACTTGATCTGTTCACCATCCGTCGGCGAGCATTCATCAAACACGTTTGAGACTATCGCGGTAGGTCCTCCACACTAAGAACGCTGTTGACATCATCCATGTCATGTCTACCAGGCGCCATGACTCAAATCTTCTGGCAAGCATGATGGACTGTTGAAATTGACGGAAGATGGGCATGACATGTTCATGAGCTCAATTGGCACAAGCCTCATTGAATAAATTCAAGTGCAAAAAAAAAAAACTGCTCGGGCGCGCTCGCAAAATTCCTGCATGCAAACTTTTGCCTTGGTCATGAGCGTCGGATCCAGCATTCATCACATGGTGGGAGCTACTGTGTTCAACCAATTCCCAGCTTTCTGCGACGGCCCTGCTGAGCAAGGCTCGTTGCAATGCAAAACACGCTAGACCCGATTCAATTTTTGTAGGGTGATGTGAACTGACTGCCCTACTACGAACTTTCAAACAGCTCGGCGCGTGATTCCAACATCCCGGGATCGTACAAGCATCACTGTTGTCAGACAGGCGTCTTCGTTGTCCCGAGTCCTATCTTTGAGCCTCAAGCTAGTTGCTGCATGAAAATGAGTCTATGCAAATGACCCCAGAAGGTGAGAACAGTCCCTTTTAGAACCTCTGGTTCCCGCGATTTCCACGACACCATATTCAGAATGCATGTTCGACCTGTTCTGCCTGAAAAGAGTCAATTGCAGTTCAGACGTCTTCAACATGCTGTCGACATGTACCTCAAACTGAAAGCAGCCCATGCAATAGAAATGATGGTGCAAATCAAGGAGGCTTGATGCCATCAGGACCTCATAGTCATGCCGTGTCAGGCTAAGAAGTCTTCAACACCGGGAAGATCATGCTGCATCTTCACTCCACCCATGTTTTCCTGGCTCCGAAACTGATCTCCTCCTTTCGCATTGCATCAGCCTCGCAAATGGGGCAGTGGCGGGCACACTGCTCACGTTCAGGAATCGTGGCTGCGCAGCCACAACGTGGCGTGCCTGAGCATGTCTCATTACCAGCCCGTTAAGCAGGGAGAAGGCACGCACCAGTCGCGAAGCGATAGTCTGCAAGGCAGCTGGGTCGCACCTTTCAGGTGCTAAGCTATGACTGAGAATTGCTTCATAGGAATGGATTCCCGTATTCTACTCATAGCTTCTCATAGCTTCAGGAAGAGGTTCGCCTTTCACTCCTCACAGCTACCAAGCCAGCCATCCGACCAGTGCCCGGCAAGCCGTCTGCCTCAGTGCTTGGCCCGCCAAGCTCAAGGTTCAGGATATGCCAAAAGCAGTGTCAACAAAAAAGTCCTTGCAGCGCTTCGAGCTGAACACGACCCAGTACGCCAATGCTGGGCGATTCAAGTAATGTTTAAAGCTCCGTCACAAACCGTCCTGCTTTTGTCAGATAGAGACTGGCGCATCAAAAAAGAGCTGCTCAACGGAGCTTAACTGGGTGCCAAAGCTGAGTGGCTGATTTGGGATGCACATACCCGCCGACAACTCCTTGCGCAGGGGCCGCAAGGAACTGCACCTGATTTGAAAACGCGCTGCGGTGATCACGGCAATCTGTTGCCAAAGTTCGCCTCAAGCCTGAGGCTCAGGCGTTGGCAAGAACCAGCTTCTCCCCAAGGACCTGGCGCACACAACGCAAACAACGCAACACAGGTGCCAAATTTCATCCTAGCATGATTCTTCCTTGTCTTTTCGTGCGGTGGGCAGACTTGGTTCACATGTCTTTCCTTCTGATGACATCCAATGCCTGTAAACCTCTCTGGCCGACACGACGTCCCAGACTCTGCTGCGCGCCACATGCAGACACAACTTATGAGAACTTGACGTGACAAGCAGCTCATAGTTTGGTAGAGTTCACAGCGCTCAGAGCTCAGTCATTGGCACTTCCGAGCTCCAGAAGCGCTTCCGAAACAACTGCCCCCGTTCGGAACTGCCTCAAATAAGAGTGACGGCGCAATATGCACAATGCTTCCCGAGCAGCAATACCGAGGCTTGCGCGATGGCCGATCTGGACCATCTGCTATTCTCATGCCCAGAACTGCCTGTATATGTCCACTGTGCTTCGAACATTTAGAGGGCTTCCGGCCTCCACTCCAGCATCCGAGACATCAGGTGCTGCCACAAGCATGTTTGCCAGGTGTCTCAACGTCCTGCAATGACGCGAATGGCAGCTGTTGCACTGTGAAACACACCTGCTCCAACAAAAGACGTTGGAGCCCGACTGTTGGAAAATCTCGCTTCGTGTGACGAAGTCCGTCTCAGCCTTTCAGTTCAAGCTTGACATGTGCTGTCCAGAGTGCAAAGTAGTAAATGCTGCGGACCCGCAGTTCCACAATGACTCCGTGCTGATTCAGCCCCAATGAGAGCAATGCCTCAGCATATCTGATGCAAGAAACTTGTTGGACACATCTGAGCTGTGTGAATCAAGGCACTTCCACAGATTCTGCCGCGCGCTTCTCCATGGATCGCACACCACGCTTTTTCAACCAATCCACTGCCTGCTACTGCAGCTGCGTTTGCAAACCGGGGGCGTACAGCAAAAGAACATCAAGTCTGCAGCATGAAAACCCCTGAACGCTTGGAAAGGGCATGGGAACATCAAGAAAATTGAGCCATTAGGCCATCAAGTCCAAAAAACACCACACTGACAGGGCTTGGGCAGGTCAGGCTCGCAATCCTCTTACTAGTATGTACTACAAGTAATAGTTGTTGTCCTTTTTGTGCGTTATGTCATCTGGGAGTTCTGCCAGACAGGAAAGGACCGGCTTCCCGATGTGTTTGCGACAGCTTAAAACGGTGTAATCCAAGTGCTCCTGTTGTGAATGTCTAAGCGATGAATCCTGAGTACCATGCTATGTTAGCAAACACACAGGCGTGGGCCGTGCACCCGTGGCCTATGAGATTATGACACATCACCAGTAGCAACTCAAACATATAGCATGATTATGGCTGGCAGCATGAGCAAGACTATCGCATCATCTCGACAATGTTGCATTGTCTTGAGTGCAGTCATCTCGTAGCCGTGCACATGCGGTAAGTCTCATTGTTTGCACCGTTTGCCAGAGCACACGATGAGGGGGTAAAGGTTGTGCAGCAGGGAAGGCCATTCTGCAGGCAATAGCAGTTCGGTGTTGCCGTAGTCACGCTGCAGAAGGGGTCCACTGGATTCTACCGATTTGCATTTGGTGACTGGGACAGTTGGCGTGCATGCGACGGTGTTACCATCTCAGTTTCATATTTGCAGCAACCGTGAGCGCGGGCTTGCAAAGCGCTCCTCAAGTGATCATTGACAAAGCCCTTCAAGTCATGTTCGGGAAGTGTTCATGCTTCCACGACCAAAAACGCCATGCTGTGAGTCGGGTTGTAGGACACATGCGATTGTGAGCCGAGAACTATGCCACGCAGCTGGCTATGGAACAAGCCGCGCGGGTAGCAGAGATTGAATCCGCGCGAAGATGTCCAGCCGGCTACGAATAGCTACCGAATGAGTCAGCATGGACCAAGACCACAAATTGTCGGGAGAGGCATCTCAGCTCTCCCTTGAGCCTGCGAATCTATCGTTTTTTGGGGGTGCTATCCGCAGATATGTTATCCGTAGATTTGTGGTACCGCCATCTGAGCAGGACCTGACCAATGTCTGCCCCCGGCACAGCTGCATGCTAATGAAAGTGGTTCTGTGATGCCACCAGGATTAAAGGAGACCCAAAAAATGGCTGGGGCCTGCATTCGGTCTGAATCTAAAATCAACAAATGAGAGAATCAGCAAACAAGAGTAGATGTTGGTTGCGCCTTCGCACAAAGCTTGCGTTGTAGAGTAGGGTTATGTTCGTGATTTGCAACGAAATTAATCATTAAAGCCAAAAGTGTCACTACAAACACTGCCCGCGCCTTTTTAACACCGGGGGTCCTGAGCCAAAGTAATGTGCGGTATTCGCACGGAAGTCAAAGCTACGTAACATGTTCGACATGGGCACATGTATTCTTCGCAGAGACTGTACATGTACTGCAAAGGCATGCAATTGACATGTGGCAAAGATTGGGTTCTTTAGTTACGGGTCTTGCCTGCCCGCCGGTGCCAAGCATCTCGGCGGAGGTGGCTTCCTGCAACAGCTGGTTGCTACAGTTTGGCCCGTATACTTCCAACCCCCCCTTCTCACAAAGCGTTGGCACAGGAGGTGCAGAGGCAACTCTCCCCGCACGCCCTGTGCTTGCGAAGTGCCCTATTGAATTCAATTTACTTTGTTGCATTGCCCTCCATCCTTAAGAGTTGGAGCGCGGCCGGAAGCTTAGCCAGCGACAGTGCCTTGGTGAAAATGTCTGCTCGCTGCTGGTCCGTATTGATGTAGAAGAGTTTGAAGTTGGGATCTTCGAAGACTTCATACAGCGAGGACGGGTTGATGCGGTGCGTCTTTGAGACGTGTCTTAGCTTTGGACTATATCCAGCATTCACAATTTGGATTACGGCACTGTTGTCTTGGAAGCATTGCAAGACCCCTCATGCCCAAACAACTGCTCAGCAAACTCCTGTGCAAGCAATGCTTCGGAGAACACTCCTGTGCACAAGGATATCATCTCAGCCTCCGTCGTTGAGCGAGATGTTGCTGTCTGCTTCCTACTACCCCAAACTAAAGGCTAAAAGGTATTCTCACCCTCTAGACATAAGATCATCCCTGACGTGCTGCGCGCGTGCTCCACTGAGCTGTGGTCAGCATCTGTATACAAACTGAGCCTCAGCTTCTCTGGAGGGTCGCCTATGGTATGCACAACGGAGTAGTCCTGCGTTGCACGCAGGTAACACATGAGCCTGTAGAGACGGAGGTCCAGTCTGTTTCCAGCAGAGAACCTTCTCCCACGAAAGGCGTGGAAGCTGCTTTGAGGGAACGTCCTGTGAGCTCCTCATACAGACAGCAAGCGTTGTTGGCGTAATCAGCCATGTTGTGTCTCATTTCGGTTACCTCACCTCGTTTAAGTAGATGTTGTCTACCTAATGTCCGATCTACATCATCAGGGGGCTCTATGCTGAGATGCTCTTGAAGCTGGCCCCAGAACTCCTTCTGACTGCTAGCAGGACCAGACAACACGATGTCGTCCACGCAAAGCGTGAGCATTTGCCCCGTGGACTTGAAGATCCAGGTCGACTGAAAGAGGCTTCAGCGCACTCCACCCATTTCCTCCATTACGTCACAAAACCGACGGTGCCAATGGAAACCGCTCTCAGGATGTCCGTAAAGACTTTTCCACAAGCGAACACATGGCCTGTCAATGCGCTGGAGATGCGGCGGCGTTAGCTCTTTTGGCAATTCGACCCAGGTCGGTACACGGGTGTTGCAGTCCGACTGAGCGTAAGCTTTGATTACGTCGCTTTGGGATGACTTATCCCCTTTCATAGCTGCGTAAGCTAGGTTGAAATTGATGCCTGGAATGCCGGTAGGGTTTACCTTCAACTCTTGCAGGATTGCTAAGTTGTTGGCTTCATCACGAATATCGTCTCCCCTAAACACTGTTCGAGCCTTCAGTTTCCTTTAGGCTGGGGTTTCCCAGCGCTTGATACTTAGTATCGTCATCAAACGCCCTATGTTCAACGCGGTCTTCCTTTCAAGGAGCTCTTTACGAGGCACTACTTCATCATAGTTCCAAGTCCCGTTGTCTATCAAACCGCTAGCTGCACCATCAATACACTCGTGGGCTCCAGGACGCTTACCCCAATCCTTTCTATCAAGCAACTGATGAATCGCGGCACACACATCCTCAACTGGAGGAGGTGTATCGTTTGGCACGTGCTCGTGTTGCTCGAAGGGCATCACAGGCACCGCCGGAATCGACGCTGCAAGACTTGGATAGAGGCTGTGGATAATGGTTACTGCATGTTACTGCCATATAGGTCTCGGGTACCTAGCTGTACCTGCAGTTTTGCAACCTTCGATTTGGCTGCGCTGAAAACCTTTGGGATGGCAACATCGTTTTGCTCCTAGATTCTCCGCAGCCTCCCACTTGGAAGTCACGATCCTCCATGGCTTTAGACGCTGGGCGCCAGTCTTGTAACTGCAGTACACAACCCGTTTTACGCTTGATGAGCTGTACTCGTTCGAGTAATGCCCAACCAGTAGCACTTTTAGGCCACTCGAAGCTTATGTGGCCCCCTTGAGCTAGCACATGCTCAGCTACGCTTATAAAGTTACGAAGGATCCTCTTTGAGCCTTGTCGCTTCTTACGGAGGGTCTCCTTGAACCCTTTTCCCAAACGTGCTTCGTTCAAGCGCTGCAGAGCGCTCCAAGGTCCACAAGGAATCGAGGCCCACAAGTCACATCCTTCAACTGCTCTAAAAGCAAACTGCGGACGCTTGCCTCGGCGGGCCTTTCTGCAACCTCCAGGGCCTCATAGATATACTTAAACCTTTGCCTGAAATCCTCAACCGCCTTGACCTCGGACCCATGCATTGTCAATGACAGGAAGTGATGCTGTGTCAATGCGGTACCTTTGTCCTGCTCCATTTTGTACTTCTGAAATATATACCACAACAACAACCTGCCACGTGGCTGCTTACCAATCTTCTGCGAACTCTCTTGAAGAGCCTGAAAGTCAAGACTAAACTTGGTACCCCGACCCAGACCCAACAACTTATGGCCCAAAAGCCGATCAAGCAAAGGCTAGTTGCCGGAACGATCAAAGTCAAATGCACCCTGGGAATTGTGAGTCAAGCGGATCCATGAAAAAATCTCAGATTCATCGCCTTTGGCCAACTTGGTAACAGAGCTGTAGACTGCATTCCTGAAACCTCTAGCCTCGCCTGGGTTCTTTGGGGTTGCGGGAATTTTCATTGCGTCGTACCCCTTTATGCGCATGAGCCTTTTCTTTCTTCTTATACTCCTTCTTATCCACCCTCCATCGGAGCTCGAACTAGAAGACGAGGAGCTAGACCCAGGATCATCATCATCATCAACCTTTCCACCGTTCCACCCCTACCCTTTCTGGGCTTTGAGCTGGTCTGTCGACAGTGTTTGCCGCATCAGACGAGCAAGGGAACTTACTTGGGCTGCGAGGGCATCAAGTTGTTCTTGCACTATGGGATCCGTCTTATTCCTAGGGGTCAACATGAGGAAACGTTCGGGAATTGGACCCACCCCGGGGTTTTGGATTGTTGTTGCCTTCGGGCTGTGGGTTCCCGGCGCCTGGCATCTCGGGAATTGTTTGCAAAGGACCTGCTGAACCTGATCATTACTCGGGGTCGCGCGGGATTTGGCCTCTCCCTGCGTTCTTGCCTTTGGCGTTCAACTACTCCAACCATAGCTTGAAGCTGACCATGCAACCTTTCAAAGTCAACCTGCGCAAACGAAAGGCGGTGTTCACTTTGGGCACGGGCGTTTTCTGCTTCTTGTCTGCTTCTTGGGCCAATTCCCGGGCTCTAAGGACCTCTTGTTCGGCTTGATTGGCAGTGGCCTGAACCTCTTGCTGGGCTTGGCTTGCAATGGCTTGAACCTCATGTTGCGCCTGAACACAC